TTGGCCTCCAAATGGAGTTATCAAACCTGTTGAATTGCAGTAGATATGTCTTGAAAGCGTCGTTTTTCCAAACCTTTACTTTATTCTGTAATGTCCTAGTGAGTTGGTTTAACTTAGTTTTATCTTGAGGCAAGTGTGATAGTTGCCATATCCTTCTTGCTATTCTCTTATGTGAAATTAGTTTTTTAATTTCGGAAGGAATAATAGGTGTGGTATTTTTCGTGCGACAGGTTGGAGTAACTAACTTTGAGGATTCTTTTAAAACTGTTGTGAATTTGTTTATCTTGTAGTCAATGTCGGCTGAACTTTTCGGTCGGGAATGTGGAAAATTTTTTGAATCCAGTAAAGCCCTGAATTGATCCCAATTTGTAAATTTGTTGTGGAGGATAGCAGAAGGTTCATTTGCAGGAATTGTGCTAAATGTTAACACAATTGCAGAATGATCTGACGAAAGATCATGGCTGTTCTCTATGTCAAAATTATTTGAGGAGATACTTTTGATTATGAAAAAATCCATAAGATCTGGTACTTTGTCTGGATCAGAGGGCCAATAGGTAGGACTGCCTGTTGAAATATGGAGAAGATTGTTATTTGATATTACCATGTGAAGTTCTTTTCCTTTCGAAGTTGTTAGCCTGGAGCTCCAAGCTGTGTGTTTACAATTATAGTCACCTCCTAATATAAATTTGGATCCCAGTTGTTCGAAACAAGACGAATAGTCATTAGCTGAAATTTTGAACTTTGGAGGGCAATATATCGCAGAAATGATTATTTCAAATAATCTTGTTTCTAATAGGATTTGTGTTGCTTGCATGGATTCTTGTTGAACATTCTGAAGTGCAAAATGTTTTAAGCTACTTTTGATTAATAATGCTGATCGACTACGGACGCTACCACTTGGATGGTTTAAATTATAAGTGATATAATTTTGAATTTTAAAATATGTTTTTTCGGTAAAGTGGGTTTTCGAAATGAGGAGAATATCGATATGAATTAGTTTCAGGAAACATTCCACTTCATATTTGTGAGGAATTAAAGCATTTGCGTTCCATTGAGCAATTTTAATTAAGTTTGCCATTATTCAAGTTATTAATTAGAGTGGTTACCATGTTGATAACAAGGCTATTTTGTTGCATAAGTTGACTGAAAAGAGTCTTGAATTCTGAGAGAAAAGACGATAAAGTGGTAGAATCGGAGTCCGTGATTGGATTCGAGGAAGTACGTTGCTGATTTCTTGTGGCGTTTGCATAGGATACTGAGGGTTAGTTGGATTAGGACTTGTGTTGAATTTTTGTGAATTGATTTTAGTTGTGATTGAAGGTGTGGGACATGGCGCGTTATTGTTTCTTTATACAGATTTCTATTTCTTGGCTCGATATTTTCTTTGTAGAATCTACATCCTCTGTAATTAGCAGTATGCGCACCGTCACAGTAATAACAGTGGGCTGGCGAATTAGGGTCTTTAGTACAATCTTTTGTTCTGTGATTTTCACCACATTTTAAACATATAAAAGGTCTGTTACAGTTACCCTTAGTAAACGTTGTATATATTTTTATTATTTTTACTGGGCTCTAGGTCTACAAAAAGCATGTTCAAGGGCTCTTTGGTTAATGTATGCCTTATGTTGAGAATATTTCTCACGACATGGCCCTGTTTAAGCAGTTCTGATTTTATCAGATCCATATCTGTAGAAAAATGAACATTCCTGAGTACTACCCCGTATGCCTTTTCTTCTTTTAGTTGATAAGTGTGATAAACTACGTTAGTTTGTTTTAAATACTTTGAGAGTTCACGAAAATTATCAACGGTTTTACATATGATTTTAAATGTATTGTTGGCGAGGCTTCGCAGATAGTATTGATTTGGATAGAACTATTTTGTTAAATGTGTTTAACATGTCAGCGGGATCTTCAACTCCGTAAATAAATATTGGTGGAGGTTTATTAACGGTTGATACAGCAGGGGTTTTGTCTTCTACGTTTATTGAAGATAATGCAGAAAATCTATCTAAGTTTTTTGTTTTTTTGGCGTGAATACTTGCCAAGGGTTAGGATTAGAATCAGCAGCTGGTTGTTCCGAAGAATGTGTATCGTCTTCCATATTATTAAGATTTTCCGATGCTGGCTCCGAGTTTTCCGAGTTTTCTTCTGATGAATGAATAAATCGGTTAACGTCAAATTTATTGAGATCTTTGTTGTTATCAGTAGAATTTAAAGAATTCACATGAGGTGAACGTGATGAAATAGCTATACTTTTGTGTTTTTTTATTGAATATTTTTCTGAAATCACTTTGTCTTGAAGAGTAATTTTCACTTAATTGGTGAGTAATTATTGCATTATTTTGTATAGGTTGTGAAATCAAATCTGATCCGCTTGCTAAAGGTATTTCTTTACTTGGATCTGCAGAAATATCCATATCATTCAAAACATTAAACGATTGAACAATAGTTATGACCGGTTCTTTGTCCCCTCCGATGGGGACCATGTTGCGTAACTCCTAACTACACTCACTGATAAGAGTCTTTTATTTGAACACTCACAGGTAAAAAGGTAAACTGAACTGCACTGAAATAATGTTTTTATTTACAATAGAACACAAGAGCACCGTACGGCTGTCGGCGTTGGAATGCAATGTTCTTAAATAAATTCAAAAAGATGTTCCAACAATTGATGAATCAGAATAACATGATGATCCCAAAAAGCGGTAAAGACCCATATAATGTATCATTCTACCGACCTATTAGTCTCCTACCAGTGGCATCAAAAGTCTTTGAAAAACTTTTGCTTAAACATAAACAAAACAATACTAACGTAATTCCAGACCATCAGTTTGGCTTGCAAAGATAACACTCGACGATCCAACAATGTCATAGAATTGTGAACGTCATCCACAACACTCTAGAAATAAAACAATTCTGTTCATCAGTTTTTCTTGATGTAACTCAAGCTTTTGGTAAAGTATGGCACAAAGGATTAGTGTATAAGATAAAAGCATCACTTCCAATTGAATATCATAATTAATTTATCGTATCTTCAAAATAGATGGATGGTTTTATGATCAAAGTAAATATAAAAACTTCATCAGCTTGCTTGGTTGAGACAGGAGTCCCACAAGGTAATGTACTGAGTCCATGCGTTTACCTAGTCTATACAACGATTTTCCTACAAATGAAAATTCAATAACTACCACATTTGCTGATGATATTGCTATTCTATCTCTAGATCCTGATCCAGTTGTAGCATTGAGAAAGCTTAAAAGTCATCTGAGAGTCATTGAAGAATGGACTGGTACATAAAAATCAACGATAATAAATCAAGTCAAGTGTATTTCACACACAACAAATCTCCCTGCCCAGCAGTTTAATTTGTTGATAAGGCAATTCCAATTAACCTGGAAGCAAATTAAACTAGAAGCAACACACACATTCAAAAATAGAGCTAATGTACTGGCTCATAGGTAGCAAATCTAAGTTATCAATTGAAAGCAAGCTAAATATATAAAACAATAATAAGGCCGATATGGACCTACGGTAAATTAATTTGAAGACAGATCAAATTTGATAAAGGCCAGACCCAGCTCATAATATACAGGGTGGCTGATATGTATTGCAACCAATTTCAGACCGCTATCATTTCTAAACCGCTCATCAGACAGATGACAGATCTGTGATGATCCAGTGATTGTTCACTTAGGTGTGTATAAGCGAAGTTAAGCGTGATAGTGCGATTGCTTCATATTTGCCTCGAAAACCTTAAGTGGCTATCTTTAGAGCCCTCCAGCATTTAAATGCGAACAAATATTTTACTACTCGTACCATATCTCGTAACCGTGATACACTCAGTGCAGCATCACGTTCAAAAAGTAAACGAAACAAAACACTAACAATACCAGAAATGATCCAAAAAGTATAGGCAAAAATCGATCAAAATTCGTGACGCAGTGATAATAAAATGGCTCGTGATCTGAACATATTGTAAAAACGGATGCAACACATATTGAAAAATGAGCTTGGACTAAAGCCATTGAAGATCCAAAAAGTGCAAGGGCTTATCGATGCACAAAAAAAAGTTAGACGGGAAGGAGCTAAGGGGTTGCTTCGCTTGCACGAAAGTGGCTAGTTACCGAATTTGATTTTCTCAGATGGGAAGTCATTCCAAATCAAGCAGTTTGTGAACAAACAAAATGATGAGGTTTACTTGCCAAAAAGGTCAGCTAAAAATTTCCACCTTCGATAGGTCACCAGAACTCAAGCGCCGCCGACGGTAATGGTGTGAACAAATGTAACGGCCGATGGTGACATTCCGCTCTTATTCATCGACCGTGGGATCAAAATAATTGCCGAAATCATCGGAAAAATATTTTAAAGGCAGTATTGAAGTCCTGGGTAGACAAAAATTTCGGCCGCAGGCCATGGACAATCCAACAGAACTCAGCACCATCAAACTCAGCAAGCGTCAACAGAAAATGGCTTTAAAAAGAGGTTTTTCGCTTTATTTCCATCGCACAATAGCCACCAAAATCTCTGGATCTAAATTAGTTGTACTTTTGTGCCTTAGACATTTTGGAGAGTGAGGTTCGCACTAAAAAATACCAAAGTGTCGATCATCCCAAGAAGGCGCTTCGCCGAGAATGGGCCCAAATACCCCAGAGCCACTTTCGTGCAGCATTTTATGGTTTTTCTGCCGTTTGAAGGCCATATTTCGTGCCAAAGGTGGCCAATTAGAACAAATCTCAACTGATTCTAAAATTTGATGTCATTTCCGACATTTTTGCTTTTGAACATTGAAATTTAAATTGAAAATGGCAAAGTTAAAGCGCTTTACTTTTTTGCATTACATATCAGCGACCCTGTATACACCAGCTAAATTTGTTGACTACTCATTGGAGCGGATACTATTATAAGTTTTTAAACTTCAGCCGATTTATTTATGTGTGCGTGTATGACTATGTGTGCATATGAATGTCTGTGTGAGTGAGTAGAAACATAAGCATAATAGCTCATGAAATGTTTGCATATTCTGATTGCTGTTAAATAAAGTATATAAAAAAAAATCTGAAACCCAGACATACCCAGACACCAAGTTTTTCCATTATTGGACCTGGAATAGTCAATGCCTCTTGATCTTTACGTATCATGCCCAGCCACGCTTTGGACCCGGGCAAGCTGTACATTCCGAGAATTGTTCTAAATAATAAGGAAATTAATATTATGTAAATTCCTATATAAAAATAGTATATAATCTAAAAAATATACAACCGAATATTAGTAATTACCAGGAAGCGGCTCGGTCGATTGTCACTCAAAACATTAAAGTAAATGGCATTTAAATCGGCAAAACCGTTTTTAGAAAAAAACCTCGACAATGTTTTATTTTTACATATATAATATTTCCAATTTCATTTTCAAATAATTCAAAACGACTTGAAACATCGACAAAATTTAAAATTAGCTAATCGTATTTCTAATCAAAAACTCAATTTCTTCTTCTAAAAGTTATAGATAATTATAAAGTAATATTCAAATAATTTACCCTTTTATATAAAATTCTTCTTCATCATTAGTTTTGACCATTATTTTTGATTTTGTGGGCTTAGTTTCTTCTATTTTTATATTACGAGCGCCTTCAGGAAGATCAATCAGTTTTGACGCCCCTAGAAAGTGTTTTTTACATTTAATATTTTAAAAACACGGATATGCAATTGAATGTGTTATTGAAATATTGTTACAAAAATTAGAAATAACTAAATACAATATTTATTTCTCATGCATGCCTAATTTTATTTAATTTGCGTTATAAAAAAAGTTTAAATTTTGTAAAATTAAGGTAACACAATTTCTCATCGTCAAACATTTTAATTTATAAAATTTAAAATAATGATTATATTTAATTAATAACATATTATTATGGTTTTAGCTATGTTATATTATAATACGAAAGTAACTCAATTTTAGCTCAACTTTATTTTATAAATTAAATCAATGTTGTTAGCATATTATTAGATACTACCGTCGGCCTCTTCGAAATCCTTGGTTCCTTGTACAAGTAAGCATTTAGAAGAATCCCCATGGCATATTCCACAAGAATCTTCAACAGCCGTTGATTCCAAATCCAAATCACATGGAATTTCCTAAAATAGTTTACTAATTTAATTAGTTTTACAGATTAATTAGCTTTTGCTCAAATTATAGGCACGGTCTCTAAATGGTATATTTTTTATTAATTGCTAAATAAAGGCGCAAAGAATTGTTTTTAGATGAAATTCTTTAGATGAACTTTGAATACATGAAAAATAATTTGAATACAAAAATTTGGATAAAATATTTTTTATAACGACAACATGATCACAACGTTCATTATTTTTTCAGTTGTGATATTCGCAGGGAAATTTAAGTATTAATTGGTAAAATGTTTTGATGACCTTTTGTAACAAATATCATAATTATATATGATTGATACCATTATATGATTGATATTTTTCTATTAATAAATTTATATAAATTTATATATTTATATAATTATAGAGGTTTTTATTAGGATATTAAAATATTTTTTTCGCCCCGATTGGACATGTATTTAATGTTGCCAAAGCTACTGTTCCGCAAGCCGATCTTACCGCCATATTGTGCGGTGGCTTCATTTTTGACAGATGATATAAAATTGATCTATCATAAAATTTCGATTTGAGTTATTGTTATAGACTAATTTGAAATTTTATATATTTTATTATGTTCCCAATTATTTAATCGTTTATAATGTGTAACAATTCTAAAGATTGCTAAATTGTTTAAATAGTTATCATAATTAATGTAAAAAAATCACACCTGGGATTTGATGAAACAAAACCTTGGGGTTAGTTGTACCATACAATAATCATATACATATACAAGTGAAAAAATTGGTGAAAATTGTAGTTTGCAAGATGTGGGACAATGCAAATTGTGTTATAAGAAACACATCATCTTTTGTTTGTATTAAAATAATGTGTATTAATTAAGTTAAGGTCGAGATTTCCACAATATGGACACACTATATATTATGTACTTCACATCGTCAGACCTATTCTAGAAAATAATTCCACAGTTTGGACACCTTATACAAAGTATCAAGCAACAAACTTAATAGAGTGAAAAAAAAAGAAAAATACCTAAAATACTTTGCGCAATCAGATAGAATTGGTGTACATAAAAACGGATTTTTTTTATAGAAATACGGGGCCAATAACCTAATCAAATGGCAGCAAATTACTGATCTTATCTTTTTTCATAAGACAGTAAATGGCTTATTTGTTTGTCTCATCAATAGAGTAGCAATGTTAGTCAACAAACAGTGCTCAAAACTAAACTTTTTTAATTCCTCAAATGATACATTTATGAATATTGTTAACAGGAATAATACATATTAAAATTTGTTAGCATTACTAGTGTGTTTGAGTCTTCATATGGGTGCATGTGCGGTTATTTTTTATTTTGTAAAGCGAAGGAAATGCGATTACGTATTCAACAGACGCAGGTTGTCTGGATATGTCGGACACAACAATGTCAATACTGACTTAAACTCCGCTTCCTTCAGGCCGTTAGGCATTACTTCGCGGGGTGAGGATCCAGAAATTGCTTTTTAGTTTTATTCCCAAGATGTCATACATCTTTCAGTCGCTCTTTTCGTCTCAACGTGGCGTAGTGCTATAAGAACTCCTGTAACTTACGTACTACTGGCGCTCTAGGCTGCTTCTGATGATAGCCTTGCTTCCATTAGCGTTTCTAGTCGAATTCTCTGCATTATTATTATTTCCAATTTAATTCGCTGTAGACTAAAGCGCAGATACTCAAAGAAAACATGCTCTGTATCTTCATTAACTCCTCTGCAAGCCGGGCGCTTGGGAGAATCATCGTGCTTAATGCGATGAAAATAACCCTGAAAACAGCCGTGTCCAGACAGCCTCTCCGTTAGATAGTAGTTGACCTCTCTATGCCTCCGGTTCAGCCAAACGTCAATCTTTGGTATAAGATGGTGCGTCCATCTACCTATTTCTGCCGCATCCCACTGTAGTTGCCAACGTCATACGCTGTTTCGACGTCCTTCAGTTATGAAATTTTTGGAGCTTAGTGTCAATGAGCAGCGCAGATAAAAGATTTGTCTTTCCTCAGCTGGGACCCCAAGAAGAAAGTCCCAGCAATGACACACACCGCTTCGTCACATATTGTGTGGAAGTTGCATATTACTCGTAAGGCACTCAGACGGTATATAATAGGTATTCCATAAGTGAGCACTGTGGCAACCACTGATGAGTATAAGTCCTCTGCTCTGCTTTGGTCCACCGATAACAGACATCAATCGTGCAAGATAGGATCTCACTACTGATGTTTTGTCACTTACTTGTTGTACATGTTTTTTAACTTCCCGAAGGAGAAGTTTATGTTTTCATAAAAAAATCCGAATCCCTGATTTTATGTTTTCTCGACGTTTCGAGCCATTCTAAATCGAATGGGACCAAATTTGAAAAAAGTATGTGTGTGTGTATATGTGTGCGTGTGTGAACCGATTTTTTGCCGCAAATCGACGTTTTCTCAAAAACGGTTTGACCGATTTCAAAAATTTAAAAAGTGTTTGATGTATCTCGATGAGGATTATCGTTTCTCCGTTTTGTGCGACGATCGGCCGAGCCGTTTCTTTGTAATTAGGAAAAATGTGTTAAACCTTTTGTCCATTTTGAATTGATTTTGAAAATTCAAAAACCGTTCGAAAGATATTGGTTGGGAATCGTGCTGATTAGTTTTTGGTAGAGATTAGCTGGGCCGTTTTCTTGTAATAAGGTGTTAAGAATTTTTTTCATCGATTTTTATTATTATTTTCTTGACGGTAATTACGATAGTCTTCTAGATTAAACTAAAATACTACGGCCCTACGACAACTCGTTTAGCTTTAAAAATTCGTCAAAGTTTGCAAAAATTAGTATGTTCTTTTTGGCCTTTGTGAAAATTAGAACTTTCATCGACGTTTGCTCAAAAACTCCTGAACCTATTTCAGAAATTTAAAAACCATTTGATGTATCTCGATGAGGATTATCGTTTCTCAGCTTTGTGCGACGATCGGCCGAGCCGTTTCTTTGTAATTAGGAAAAATGTGTTAAACCTTTTGTCCATTTTGAATTGATTTTGAAAATTCAAAAACCGTTCGAAAGATATTGGTTGGGAATCGTGCTGATTAGTTTTTGGTAGAGATTAGCTGGGCCGTTTTCTTGTAATAAGGTGTTAAAAAATTTTTTTCATCGATTTTTATTATTATTTTCTTGACGGTAATTACGATAGTCTTCTAGATTAAACTAAAATACTACGGCCCTACGACAACTCGTTTAGCTTTAAAAATTCGTCAAAGTTTGCAAAAATTAGTATGTTCTTTTTGGCCTTTGTGAAAATTAGAATTTTCATCGACGTTTGCTCAAAAACGCCTGAACCGATTTCAGAAATTTAAAAACCATTTGATGTATCTCGATGAGGATTATCGTTTCTCAGCTTTGTGCGACGATCGGCCAAGCCGTTTCTTTGTAATTAGGAAAAAAGTGTTAAACTTTTCGTCCACATTTAAGCACATACTACCGATTCGATTTTAAAAAATCAAAAACTGTTCGAAAGATATTAGTTGGGAATGATGCTGATTAGTTTTAGGTGAAAATCTACCGAGCCGTCTTCTTGTAATTAACTGTTGAAAAAAAATTAAGCCGATTTGCATGGAACTTTTTTTGGCGATATATATCATAGTCTTATAAAACTTGCTGGAATATTACGACCTTACGACAGGTAGTTTAATTTGAAAAAATCATCAAAGTTTGAGAAAATGAGTAGTTCTTTTGACATTTGCTAAAATTAAATTTAGACAATTTACTTGGTATAACGATAAAGTACTTGGTATTAATGAACGTACTAAATAATTACAGTCCTACAAGAAAACTGGCTCAATTATAAAAATTATTGATTTTTGAAAATTTGCTTTTAAAAAATACTCCGATCGGGTTGACGTGTTTGATTTTCAATAATGTGTAATAAATCCATTCGGAATACTTTTAATCACTCATATATTAAATTATTTTTCATTGATTAAGTTGTTATGTAACTTGCCTCAAGGCAAAATACTAATACCAACTAGTTTTAAATTTAGTCGGGCATCTAGCATAAGGTTGTGATATGATTTCTTGTTCTTGTTCTTTCAACTTTATAGTCTCTATGATTTTTTTGCGGGTGATCAGTACTGCTTCCTACTTCTTTTTAAAGACTGCTAGTTAAAGATTAACAGTATCTACACAGCGATTTATTATCTTGAAGGTCACGTTGAACATATGGCGTATTTTGTTTAGATCTTAGGTATGTTCTGCGACGATCAAAATCCCGTCGTAAATAAAATTCCACCAAGTAGTAGTGGCCCAAAAACTAAGCCTTAAAGTACACCTGCGATAATATTAAATTCTTTCGAGCCGTTTTTTGTATCGTATATAAGGACCCTATTCGTAAAGTAGCTTGCCACTGCCCTACACAAGTAACCTGGTACATTCCGTTCCTGAAGAGCAGTCTCAGTTTGCGCAGTTGAAAGCGTTCCTGACATCTAATGTGGCCACCAGGCAATACTCTTTCGTACCGCCCTTCTATCTTATTCACGCGATTGCTTTCTTGGCCATATCGATTTCTGGCCTTTCTGGAATACATACTAGTTGTTTGCTAGATGTGTTTCAACAATTGCTTCCATTCATTAATGAATTATTCGTTCGAATATCTTACTATCCTATCCAACATGCAGAGTGGACGGTAGGATAACGATTCATCTAGTGACTTATTTCTCTTGGGGAGCAGTGCCAGTCGTTGTTGTTTCCACTTTCTGAGAAAAGTTCCTTCTTTCGGATCGGCGTAGCACTAGTATTGAGCAGGACAACGTCTAGTGTACTAAAAGTTTCAGTAGTGTTTTTCCTTGTGCGTTGGTATGCTTGGTTCCTCAATATACTGTCCAGGAGTTAAAATCTCTGGCTATCGCCACTGAATGATGTTGCTTCCCATCCTCGGTTTGTCAATCAAGAAAGTTAGTGAATCCCACGATGGGAAGGCTAGGTGGTGCGTAGCAGCTGTAAAAGGGGATGCCACCTAT